AGGATATGTGGCTTGTGTGCTAGAGATATAGGTTATATAGTACACATATTGACTGCACACTCTTTATACTCATGCCAGCTACAAATTGGCATGTGCCATCTACCTCCACAAGGATTAAATCATGAGCTGCTGCAGCTGCTGACTTTCAACACCCCCTGAAAAGAGCTCAGGGTGAAAACAGGTATGACCCACTCTGTGTTCTGGGAAAAACTGGCAGAACAGGTCTTCAAATAGTTATCTTCAGAGGATTTTATGAGCCCAATTCTTGCATCTCCTCATAATTAGAAAAATGCTGACATCATTAATGGTGACACCTGCTCCCCATGACTAGCAGCAAGCCTCTGACAAAATGTGAGCTTGACTGCACTGAGCCCTTCCCTGAAATCATATATGACAGTGACCTTCCCCCCTGCCTCTTGGTAACAATTTCTCAGCACAGTTTGAAATGCTGTCTCCTGGGCTTTAGTCCTCATTTTGCCCCCAAATAAAAACATAACCCACAACTCTCATGTTTTGCTTTTTTTTCAGTTGATACTCAGACTCTTCGTTAGTATACTAAAGATGAATGTCTTCTAAATTTTTCAATATTGCTCCTTCACTGAAGGATATTATTAAAAACAATGATACATACATAGGCTAAGTTGAAATAGGATTCAAGTTAGGTTTCCCTCTGGCTATTCTTTTCTAAAAACTCTAAAGCATTTTAAGGCACACTTCTCTTATAAATCACTTGACAAGTTACAAGTCTGTTTCTTTTTTTTTTTTTCTTTTCATTTATTTTTATTAGTTGGAGGCTAATTACTTTACAATATTGTAGTGGTTTTTGTCATACATTGACATGAATTAGCCATGGATTTACATGTATTCCCCATCCCGACAAGTCTGTTTCTTTTTTTGTCTTAAGCTGGTGATATCTTTAAACATTCTATCATGGAAAATTAAACAAAAGTAGAAATAAGAGTATAAGATGCTTCAATGTATCTTTTACTTAATTTAATATTTATTCATCTATATCCCTACCTACTGTCCCGCTCTGATTATTTTGAAGCAGATTTTGACCATAATTCCTATCATATTGTAGTATGTATCTTTAAAGGCTTTCTTTTTTCCCCTCACCTAACCACGATACCATCATCACATCTAGAAAAAAATAAGTCCTTAATCATATGGTTCTAATTTTTCTAACTCATTGCAAGAAGACTACAGTATAAGAGAATGGTATTATTAACCAAGAATCTGAAGATTTAAGGCATCTGCGGTTTCCCTAAATTAAGAAGAATTAGCTTTTATCACCAAGGAAACAATTAACCATCTATTTTTAGCACTTTAGGTGTACATGCAACTCATAGTGTTTTTTCTTTGTGTTAAAGACAAATGTATTGCCAGGCAAAGAAATGGCCTTAACGTTTTTATGTTAAAAATCAGGGATTAGAGGGTTGGAGGAATATTTATCCCACAAATTTTAGGACCTATTTGTTAATGTCTGGAATTTTAGCTTTAAAAAAAAAAAACACAGATCTTTTTTAAATGGTAATAATTCTTTTCTGCAGCCAGTATCTTTGGAAATGGATGTGGATGGACAACTGAAATTGTGATTAGAACAGGTAAATATGGAAATGTTTGGATTTTTTTTCTTTTGTGTTTCTCTTTGCATTTGAATCTATTTCAAAGAATAATGGAAGCTTCCCGAGTCTTTGAAAGGGATCCTGATTAAGAGATATCAACAGCTAGAGGAAGCAAAGAATCTGGAAAAGTTAAAAGTCATTCCTAAGGACGAAGGTCTTTATATTGCTGGGGACAATGCCCTGAATATTGTACTAGTTATTGCCACATAACAAATTTCCGCAAAACAGTATAGCTTAAAACAATGTGTATTCTCTCTCCCACCATTTCCGTGGGTCTGGAATCCTGGAGCACCTTAGCTGAGTGGTTCTGGCTCAGGATCTCTGATTAGGCTGCAGTCAAGGTGTCAGCCAGGCCTGCAGTCTCTGGATAAAACTGAAGCTGGAGGATTCTCCCCGTGCTCACTTACAGAGCTGTTGGCGAGAGGCTCCCATTGCCTGACCCCTGGTCATCTCCACCAGGCTGCAAACAGTATGATTCCATCAGAGTAACTGATGAGACAAAGCCAGTTAGAGAAGCAGCTGTCCTTTGTCATCTAAGGTAAGAAGGGACACTGCATTACTTCTCATTCATCCTCTTGGGCCTGTGATCCACCCTGGTATGTTGTGGGTGGAAACAGTACAGAAGTGTGAATACCAGGACAGAGACCACTGGGGCCACCTGGGAGGCTGGCTCCCCCAGCCTGCCTGCTCCCGGGGAATATAAAAGTCTCCACCCATTCCAGCATCAGCTACAGAATCTTACCTAAATCAGGTCCAGGTGCGGATGGAGCTATGAGGATGTATGCAGCCCTTAAACACAGTTCCTCCCGCTCTGTAGGCCTGTGACTAGCAATGGTATTCCCCCTCCCCGTGCCCAGTACACATACTTATCAGACAGGATGATTCCTGCTCAGAAAGACAGAAAATGAATGGCACACAGAAGTTACTGGTCTGTGAGCAGTACTGAAATCCAGCCGGGCACGTGTTAGAAATTCCCTGACCAGAACTCAGTCTTCCTGCCAGGAAATGACTTTCAAATGGCTCTTGACTTGGGCCCTCGGAGACTTTGGCCTCATCTGAGTCATCCTTTTACATGAAAGGTTTACGAGGGAGCCATTTTCTCAGCTTGCTTCTCATCAGTAGAATCTTCTGGGTCCAAAGGCCTCCCTGTATTTTCACTTCTCTGTCTCTTTCAGTTCAAGTTGACCAGGTTCCTGCTGATATATTTTTAAAACTTTGAATCTTCTTCGAGTCTTATTCTGGCATCATTTTTTATATTTTTTCAGATCTTAATAAATGACTTAATAAATGACTCCTGTGGTGCAGGAGACCTAGGTTCGATCCATGGGTCCGGAAGATCCCCTGGAGAAGGGAATGGCAACCCATTCAGTATTCTTGCCTGGGAAATCACATGGACAGACGAGTCTGGTGGGCTACAGTCGATAGGATCACAAAGAGTCAGACATGACTGAGCGACTAACACTTTCACACTTCCTGAGAGTGTCCTTGATTTAACTTCTCTCTGAAGCCATTTCGTTTGGCATTATTTGGAATCTTCCAAACCAGTGAACCCTGGTTCCTTTTTAAGTCCTTTCTTGAACTTCTCTTTCTTCTCACAGTCTACTATAAGCAGCAAGAATAAGCGGGCTGATGTTTTCAGTACTCTGGTTAGAAATAGATTTAGCCAGATGCCTCAATTTGTTAGCTGCATTTTCCAATTCCCATGTAACTGCACAAGCTCCTTCCCCGTGCTGTTGGCTTCAGTTCCTTGCCACACAGGCCTCTCCATGAGGCCACCCACAGTATGACCTCTTTCTCCATTTGAGTGACCAGAGACAACCCATGACAGAAGCCACAGTCTTTCATAACCTAATCTCAGAGTGACACACACCACTTCTGTTGAATTTTATTGACCACCCCTGGTACAATGTAGGAAACCATACTAAGGTGTGATGGCCAGGGGGCAGGGATCATTGGGGACCACCATGGAGCCTGCTCCCACATTTCCTAAGCAGCATCATTACTTGGTAGGTTTTACAATAATCATTTTTTCCAAAAGGTCTAGAAATATGAGGTCTTGTTTTTTTAATCTATGGCATGTAAGTACAGAAAAGTCTGGCAGGACCTACAGAATCGCGTCAGTCATACTTATTTCTGGGTATTGAGATTATGCGTGATTTTACTTTTGTTTTTGTAACTTTGTTTCCAAATGCTTTTATAATTAATTTACAGTCCGAAAACATTGTTCTTTTTTTTTTTTTTTTTTGCAATGTGGAATATTCCAGGGAAAAAGAAGTTAAAGGTTGGGACAGTTTATTATTTTCAAACATTTTGTATTAAGCACTAATAGACACTAGGTACTTATGAAGGGAAAGGATGTAATTCTTGTTTTTAAGGAATTACGTATTTGGGAAAACATAGCTATAATACAGTGTAATAAATTCTACAGAAGAGGAATGAAAGGAGCTTAAATAAAGGGCAATACACAGAGGAACTAAGTTAAACTGACCCCTTAAAATAGCATGCAGGGACTTCCCTTGTGGTCCAGTGGTTAAGACTTCCAATCCAGGGACATTGGTTTGACCTCGGATTGGGGAACTAAGATCCCACATGCCTTAGGGCATGGCCAATCAAACAAACAAACAGAAAAAACTATTAAAAAAAAGTGATAGCATGGGAAAGGGAGTGGCTGGAATAGACAGCCTTTATACCATCCTTGGAGTTTGAACTTGTTATTATAGTGTGAATACACCGTTATAGAAGTATAAGCAGGGAAATGAAGTACCCAGATATACTTTTAAAACTCACCTTTACTTTGTTTTCATTGTTTTATCTTTAAAACACTGATCCACCTGGAATGTTGTAAATGTTACAATTCAGTGCAAGGCAAAATAAATCTCAAACATTAGTTAAGTAAACATGAGTACAATGTTTACTATCAAAAAGAACTTTGAAGTCTTAAAAGAGCTTTGAAACATTTTCAAAATTTAATTTCTAGAAATACAGCAGACTAAACATTCCTACTTAGAAGACCTTAAAGAGTTTGAATGGTGAAATGTTCACTGTAAGGCCCATTGAAAGGAGAAACTGATAAATGGCGTCAGCTGGGAAAATACAAACTAATGAGCACCTTACTATACATTTCTATCTCATCCTCATTTGGTACGTTGTAATATGGCACACTCCCAAAATTATTATATGTAGAGAGTAATCCTTCTCTAATACTTTATGTCCATACATTTCCATGGAGATCAACATTGAAATGTTTATGGCCTTGAGCTCAATCAACGTATGGCATGATTTTAATGTGAATCCTCTATTGTCCTGGAAGGTCATGGTGTAACTGATTTCGTGTAAAACTGATTTCATGTAAAACAGCTAGTTGGCATTTCTTAACTAGCTGCTCTGCTCTTTCTCTTCCACGTTGAGTACAGTATCCACAGTTATTCCAATGTCCTGCAGTGACCAGCCTCCCTCCACTTCCAGAGGCCTTCTGGGAAAGGAAGTAGAAAGGCTGTATAGAGATGTGCGATACCCAATCTTCATCATCCAGTCAAATAAGACCTAGAAGAGAAAAAGCTTCATTATAAATACTGCACACGGTTGTGTCCCTCATGATAGTTTATGATCTCTCATTGTTAAATCATGCCCCTAGGAGTCAGAACTTTCATATCTTTCAAAGGAACTTTCCAGTGTTTAAAGCAAAACAGCATGCCATGAATTGTGAGATGTGAATGACCTTTGATATCTTTTGTTTCAAAGAAGGCCTAGGGACTACTGACACCTACAGGCAGCAGAAGCATTTAACAATTAGGAAAGCTCCAATCATAGGGAATGGGGAGATTATTCACTGAAAAGGTTAAGAACAAAAGGTTAGCATTTAGGGAAAAAGTCATTTAGATTACAATCGAAGCCAGTAGTCCACATCAAAATCACCCAGAAACAGTCAAAACAGACATGTCCATGTGCCAGAGACTCTGCCTTTTGATAACAGGCCATCCCTATGAATGTACTGCATTTCCTGTCAAAGTTTCCCACTGTAATTGTCCAAATTTCCACTTATTATTGCTAAAAAATGCCTGCTAAAGGATGGTGTGTTGCTTTAGGAAGAAAGCTGAATGACAGAATGTTCTCAGGGGATGCTGGTATCAATTATACTTATATCAACTTACATGATTATCAATAATTATACTTTATATCAAAATGATACTTATATCAATTATAAGTAAATCCTGACCTACCACCATCCATGTACCTGTTGATATTCCATGTAATAAATGTGCATTATCTCATACAATGTCATAATTTTGCAATATATGAATGTGCCTTAGTTTAACCAATGCCTTCATAAGCACTTATATTAATACCTTTGATCATTTGTCATTATTTCCAAAGAATAAATTCTCATAAATGAAATTACTGGGCCAAAAGATATATTTTAAAATATATACTAATAAATTATCCCACAAGAACAGTAGTCAAAATTACATTAGATGAACAATGTGAATGTAATTTAGTAAGAATCCCTGTTCTCTGCACACACTGCCCAAAACTGGGTATTTCTTCTTTTTAATATTAGACAATTTGATAGGTAGAAAATGGTATCCATTTTAATATGTACTTTTCTAAGTAAAACCAAACTTTTTTTCATGTTCATCACTTGGTTTTTAATTTTTAAAATTATTTTAGCTAGCATAATCATCATTACTTTATAAATATTTATTAAATTTTTGTTGTTTAGTTGCTAAGTCATATCCAACTCTTGCAACCCCATAGACCCCTCTGTCCATGGGATTTCCCAGGCAAGTTTTTTTTTTCTCTAGCTAACATAATCATTACTTTATAAATATTTATTGCTGCTGCCAGATTTTTAAATTGATGAGCTTTATACAACTTAAAATTTTTATGTAGTCTAACCTACTAGTATTTCCTATTATAGTTTATAGCAGTCTAGACATAGAAGGTTAAATGCAACAATAAGGATAGAAAATTATTTAGATAATTACTTAGATTTTTAATGCATGCATAATGATAAATTCAAATGTACTTAAAATCAGAAATACATCGACATATTAGTAATTCGCTTTGGTGTCATATGGCAAATCAAAATTGTTTTTCTATATTCTATAGTTTCTATTCTATATTCTATACTCTCCTATTCTATATTTTCCAAATCATTGCTGGTGAACACAATATTGTTTTTAAAAGGAAAAACAAGTCTATTAGAACAAAAATAAACAAGCGTTAGAGAATGATCTGAAAACACATACAAGCAGTGGGGCTTCTTAGATTAATAATCCACTGGGGATAATAAGAACAGAGTTAATAATAGCTGCTTCCTAAAGATTTGAAAGCATCTTACCCACTGAGCTGTGAGAATATAATTAAAACAAAAAACAAATTAAAAAAGGAAGAACTGAAAAAATCTTAATGCAGAAATCACAATTCAAGGAGGCTCAGCATGCCTAATTCTCCAAATTTCTGTCACGTAGAGTATACATAAATCCCATTTACCCTCACCTGATGGTAGTGCGGACAACAGACAGCACATCCTCCCTGCATGGGAATAAACCACTGCCAAATTCAACACAAATATTTCTCCAAATATGATTTCTCCTCACCTGTGAACTGCAGGACTTAAAAAACCTTCTCCTCAGGACACGCCCACTTGGACAGCGGAGAGCTACAGTCACGACCTGAGGAAAAAAGTGTTCAGATGAGAATTTCAACCATGGCTCTTTGTAATTCCAAAATCACTACTCCTGTGAAACACCCTAGTTCTAAGCACTCATGGGGGGTTTTGTAAAAATTTAGCTCTCAGAGTTGTATGCCAGCATTGAGGTCTGGTGAAAATTCTTCTGAACCTGAAAAACACCTTCCCACTGCTTGAGGAGACCAGTGACAGAGTCTTCCAGAGAGGGTGCCAGAGATGCGAGGCTTCGGTCTGCCCAGACAATATCAAGACTGCAGCTGGGCTTTGAGAGAGGCCTTACCAAGCCAAGATGATCCAGAGCCACCTCAGAGTCTGCAGGCAAGACAAACACTGGACTGGAAGAAAACAAAATGTTACCTAGGCCACCCCATCACTGGGGCTGGGTGCCGTATCTACCTCATGAGAACAAGAGATGAGCCTGGAGTCAGTCCTGGCTGCTGCGGAGCTAGGAGACCCCCTTCTCCTGGGAGCAGCTTTGTTCTACATGTTGAGTTTCCCCACAAGCTTTCTTTTGATTAAAGTGTTAAACAGCTAAAAAGAGCCTGCAACATGCTAGTATTTTAAAGAACATTCTAAAAAAGAAAAGAGTGGGAAAGACCTAGAGATGATCATACTAAATAAGCAAAGTCAGTCAGAAAGAGAAAGAAAAATACCATATGGTATCATTTATGTGGGGAATCTAAAAACAGATGCAAATGAACTTATTTACAAAACTGAAACAGACTCACAGACATAGAAAACAAACTTACGGTTACCAAAGTGGAGGGCTAAGTTAGGTGTTTGGGATCAGTAGATACAAGCTACTATCTATAAAATAGATGAACAACAAGGTCCTACTTGTATAGCACAAGAACTCTATTCAATATCCTGTAATAAACCATAATGAAAAAGAATATGTATATATGTATAACTGAATGACTGTGCTGTCCATCAGAAACTAACACAACATTGTAAATCAACTATACTTCAATTTTAAAAAAAGAAAAGATGACAAAATCAGTCATTAATTCTGACATTCATTATTCACCCTCAGGAAACCCTTTCTGATGGTCCTATGGAAAGTGTTTTAACCCTTTCTTATGGGTAAGAAAGGCACACTTCCTAGACTAGAATGCTATCTTTTTGTTGTTTTTAACTTTTATGAACGTTATCCTAACTGTCCTGGGAGTTTTGTTGGCAGCACAGTTACAGAAATGGTGGAAATGGTTGTATTATAGCAGTACCCACCCGCTTCAGGAAAGCCACATTAGCAAATATTTCCATGCTAGTAGGTAGGGTGTTTGACATCCAGATTGGTGTGATGTTGAGCTATGTTACTACTTCTACTAAAGGAAAGTTTAATAATAAAACACAAACAATCACAAAGGCCAATTTTGTTTATTTGTAGAACAATAAAACCTAACTTTTACAGTGAGGTTTTGTTCAAACTTTAATGATCTGAGAGGAGAATTAAAGTCAAATGCTTTCAAAGAAACTAAGGTTAAAATATAGTGACAGTGTTTACCATTGTGATTAGATAAATACTTAAGAGAAATGAACAATCGTCGTTTGAAACCTAGTTACTGTTCTGTTATTACAATTACTTGAAAGGTGGGTGTGTAATTTCTCCTAAGATTACTGACAGTCTAATGGACTGACCTATGAACAGGTCAAAGGCCTGGAACACAATCCAAATTATGAAGTAAATCTCTGTCCCAAACACAGACTGTTAAATGAAATCTAAATGAAAAGGGGCAACACTAATTAAAATTTGGCTCCCCTTAAAATGAAATAAAATAGCATATAATAATGAAAATAGTTGCTATGGTATTATGGTAATTACATGATGATTTACAAACCTCTTTTCAATTATCTTAAAGTCTATGGTTATTGTCTTTTCAGTTTAAAAGTAGAACAGTAACATGTGGTGACTATTCTGTTGTGAATTCTAGACTACCATGAGTTAGTTCCTCCTCTCATTTAAAATATCTTACCAAATTATAACTCTTTCAATAGTTGTAATATGAAATGCATAATAGGCACTTAAATCAGGGTATAAGGCTTAAGAATGGCATTGTTTCAGATCTGCCCCCTCTTTCGGAAATCCATGTCAGCCATTAGCTCACTCATCTATTAGTCTGCTCCTAAGTCCAAGGAGGCTTCCACTATAACAGGAATTTTCTCATATGGCTATTGTAAAGCCTACAGAGCCACAGATACTACATATACAGAATACACACACACACAGTGAAAACTTCATCCTGTTCTGATAACCTCTAAAATGAATGTTAGTCCCTTCACTGAGCAACAGAGATTTATTAAGATGTCCCTCTATTCTGTGGGTGACACCACACACTTAATGGTCCTAACTTTAATAAGAAAACAGAGAATGTCCTGAAAATTAAAATCTCCACTATTCCTAAAGGTGAAATTATTCTTTTATATATGGACTCATGAAACAGCTGTGTGGCTTAGGGATTAACATATATTAGTTATGATGGGCAAGCTTTATGTATGATGATAGATCATGATTATGGTATCAGAGCAAAGCTTCGAAGTTGACAAAATACGAAATGGTACTGTGCAGAAAGCCAGAAAAAGGTATGACTAGGTGACTGACAAAGACAGACATCCTAAAATCTGGGGTAACTGCATAGTCCTCATTGCCAATTCCAGGTGTGCCTTTTTAACTTTGAAAGCACTTTTTTAGGGTGATGGTGTGAAGGATAGGTAGGAAAGGCACACTCTCCAAACTAGAATGCTTCCTTTTTCTTGTTTTTAACTTTTATCATGATGATGACATTCCACGCCTAAGGTCTACTTTCATTATTATTAAACAGTCCAACTACAACTGAGGAGAAAGGTCAGGCAGAAACACCCGGAGGGACCAGGCTAACTGCTCAGAAACAGCTCATTAGATCAAAGAGTAGGATGACCAGGTCAAGGAGAATAAACTGGGACACCGAGAGTCATCCAGGGAGGTAAAAATAAGGGCTGATAAATGGCTAGCAGGGAATTGGGAATTTATCCTTTGAATTCTAAGAAATCTATGCGCAATAGCAGCTGCACAGGTGGAAAACGCCTTGCCCAGTGATCATTCTGACAGAATCGAAATCTTCCAGAATTTATTTTCTTTTCTTGATTAGTGTAGAATAGAATACACTGGACAAGTATCAAGTGGTAATAACTATACATTAGTGGCCTTCTTCACAAAACTTTATTATGTAATTTAAAGGTGCTTATACCTGATTGATATTATGTATATATATGTGGTTCCTATGTAACATGTAATTCTCAGGTAACAATTTTTTACCTTAATTTTGTTCACTTTATTAACCAAAAACAGCAAAGAGGACCAAAAATCAGAGCAAGGCCAGAGGAGAAGCAAATAGAAGCAAGGAGAAGCAAGTAGGGATAGCATCGCTTCTGGAGTAAATAAGGGTTGATTAAACCCAGAGGTCTCACGCAGCCAGAGGGGCTGGGCTCCCCCAGGAGGGAAGGCCTGTGCCTTCAGCCTCAAGTTGAGGATATGGGATGAGAAATGACTGAGGTTTTCTGAGCTCTAAAACTCCATTACTGTGACAGACACTTTAATGAGTGTAGCACAGAAGGTCATCTGTCAAGTATGGGAAAAGAGCAGAAAGGAAACAAAATGGAATGACTATGAATAACTCTATAATTATAAAGTGGAGAGCAATACCAACTGCCTCTGGGTGGAGGTATCTTGACCTTTCCAGGGTTACAGACCTAAGATTCTGAAGAGCACCCTCCTTCTACCTGTCATCGCAAAAAGGTGCAATTTCAAAGGATTCACTGACCACCTGACGTCTATCGTCACTGGTGACAGACTGGTGTTCTGTAGGAATAAGGTCATGTGCTTTAAAGCTGGAGAAAAGTCTTAAAAGGCGTTCCCCCGTCAACCTGAGCTGTACTTCGTTACTCCCTTATTATAAGTGGTTGTCATGGATACCAACCCAGAGCTTGAGAGGTGAAGGTGTAGGAGGGTCAGGACAGACCTATCACACGGGTGTGGATGTAATGGGTGTAACAGTGAGGAATTAGACCTTTGGTTTTTCCTTAAATTGTGTTTCTCCTGGGACTGATTGCACACTGCATTGTCTCTATAAGACTTTCAGAATTTTCCTCAGTATTTTAGTATCCAAAATACTAACTTATGTGTTGCAAATGTGTTGGCAAAAATGAGACCCTCCAGCGCATTCATGGCTGCCTCAGAAATGGTTTTCAGGGAGTATAACAGTCGCTGAGAGTCAAGAAATGGAAAACCATCCAGCTCTCCTTTGCCTACGCCATTTCACAGCTTTAAAGATGTGCTTCTGCACATTAGCGAGTGAAAATGAGCTGGGCAACCGCAGGAAGGCGGCACAGATTACGGCAAAGTGGTTGGGCAGAGGACACAATGCAGAGTTGGGGTTCAGTCCAACCTTGACCCCAAACAGCAAACCATCTTTCAATTCAAACACCTACAAAGTAGCTGCATCCTTCATTTTCTCTTTTTTAATGGAAAAACTACAATTTGAAGTCATCTGCCTATTTTGATTCTATTTTAATAGGCAGCTCATTTGATGACCTAACATTCTGGAAAAGACCACATATCCAATCTCTGCCCAATAAAGTGGGAGGGCTTTAAAACACAAGCTCAGCAGACAGCAGGCTTCCAAAATAGGGCTTGACTGAAGCATTTGATACCACCCCATATTTGAAACAAGACCTAATCATGGTGCAAACACATAAACACTGTACTATTTTTTCTTTCTAAACCCAAAGGTAAGACATACTTAACTGATGTTAAAGAAAATTAAAAATACATTGGTTTTCAAAGAAAAAGAAGATAAGCTTACTTCTTCAGCTGTTTCAGGAGGTTCTTCAGGTAAATCAATAACCTAAAGAAAAGTAAGTATTTAGTAACAGGAATATAAACAGAAGAAGAAAAAAATAACCTTGAAGAGAAGAGTTCCTTCCAACATAGAGTTTGGGCATATCTATGCTTAATAAAGTATTTTCTTTTAATATACATTTATAAAATGTTTACAGTGAGAGACTCAATAAACATTTTTGGATAAGCAACTCTGTACTTAATAATACATCATAAAAACAGGATTTGGAAAAAAAAACAGATCTCAGATGACAGCTGCTAATCTATACACATTTAAAGAATGTTATGTTTATGCTGTTCTAAGATATTACATAAAAATGTACTACTAAAGAAACAGAGGATGCAATACACTGGAAACTACTTATAGGGAACACAGAGCTTAGCAGATTTCCCTAAGACTCAATAGAAACACACTTATTTCAGCCTTAACCAGCTCCAAATCAGTCTTCTTAGGGATTAAAGGTTTGAAAGAAAAGAAGGAATAATAAACCTGGACATTGCTCCAGAGTGAATGGTTGCTAACTCATTCCCTAAAAGGGGCACTGATGGCAATGATATATTCATGTTAATAACGTTAGCCACTCAACTAAGCTCCAGTACTTTGGCCACCTGATGTAAAGAGCTGATTCACTGGAAAAGCCCCTGATGCTGGGAAAGACTGAAGGGGAAAGGAGAAGGGGGCAGCAGAAGAAAAGATGGTTGGAAGGCATCACTGACTCAATGAAGATGAGTTTGAGCAAACTCTGGGAGATAGTGGAGGACAGAGGAACCTGGCATGCTGTAGTCCATAGGGTCAGAAAGAGTTAGACATAACTGAGCGACTAAACAACAAAATATATGACTTCATTGTATCTTAGCTCCCCAAAGGAATGTCTCCGTTAGTAAATATTGCATTTTTTGTTTCTACATAATTAAATTACTTCTTTAAAAAGAACTATTTACTAAATGTACTATCATCTATCTTCCTAGATTCCTTGTAAGTTTGGCTCAGAATGCTAGTATTTAACAAGAAAAGTGATTCTTAATGAAGCTGAAGTGATTCTTAATGAAGACACCATCTGGATTCCCTCAATATACCACTTCCACCCAAAGAACAATATCCCTACTGTACACGGATACAGCTCAGTGACCAGATATTAAGTAATGAACCTCCTTCTTCATGGGCTGCTCAGCGGGTGGTGAAACTCTGGTTACAGGCATAGGCAAGTTCCGTCTCTTTGCTGCTTCTCTGTTTGATGTTTCAAAAGATGTCTGACTCTCACTATCAAGCTCCAAATCTTCATCACCCTGGTCAAAAGCAAACTCAATTCAGAAGTGAAGTCACTACATACAGCAGTTGCATTTTATGTTGCCATCTTTCACATTACCTTTCTTACCAACCCTTGACGGTTTCATGACAATATTATTTACCATTATGAAATGGATACAAACATTCTGCTTCACTGTCAGAATCCTGTTTACCCCTACTGGATCATCTTCTTTAGGAAATGATGAAAGGTACAGTGTAAACAGAAAGCAAAAAAAAGTCTTTGGGACAGAAAGGATCTTACACAAAAAAATCTACAGCCAGTTCCTCTAAAAATGAATTTCTTTATGAAAATCCTTTTTTTCTCTGAAAGAAAACTTAATGTTGTAAACTTTTACTTGCAAACAACAAAATTTATACTCAATGGCAAAGGAAGAGAGCCAAAGGTCAATTTGGCTTCACAAAAACAGAGCTAAACAGAATGAATATAATGTGAGCTTATAATACCCAAGAGATTTGGATGCCCTCATATAAAAGATGTGATTTAGTCAACAGTTTTCTCAGACTCTTAAGTTAGAACCTTTCAAGGATCTAAGTTATATGCTCTTTAGGCACCAAAAACCACTTAAACATTTGACATACAAATATAACCAATAAAAACTCAATATATATATATATATATATATAATTGATATATAAACATTATTAATACTCATAAAATAGACTGGAATAATAATTTGCCATTAAAAAAATTAGTATATGTTAAAAGAAACATAATAGCAGAATTTAAAAATATGAAATGAGAATATTTTCTAACCCCAAGTTTATGACCATTGCTTAACTTCCAGGTTTCACCCGTCATCTGATAAAAGCGTTCTTCCAGCTTTTTCAATTTCATTTCCTGGCTAGGTTTTAGAACATTCTCTATGTATCTGCCGACCTGTTCCAAAAACAAAAAAAAAAATCAGGTGACTCTACATTAACACCCTAAGATTTTATTTACATTGTCTACAAAGTTGTAAATAAGAATCAGGTAAGAAGTGATGTTTTAACACTAATTCAGTTTTGCCAAAAAACCTACATCCTCCACTGTTGCATCACTCTCTAAAAATTTGCATCTGTACATAATGCAAAGAAAAACAACTGTTTTGTCCTTCTGCTTGTATGGCAGTCTGCCGATACATCCTTTAATGGGTTTTCAGTGCAACAAAAACCTACTAAAGGTGGAGATATAAGTATGCCCAAGAGCTACCTGACATTTCAAGATGATAAAAATAACTGTTAGATGATCATCCATGGTAAATGCAACTTCTAGTTAGCAAAACCAAGCTTGGATAGGATGAAGCAAAAGCAGTGCTCAGAGGTAAAGTTATGGCTATAAATGTCTAATTAAAGAAGAAGAAAAGATATCAAATCATTAACTTTACATCTTAAAAATCTTGAAAAAGAACAAGTTAAACACAAAGCTGGCACATGAAAGCAAATAATAAAGAAGACATAAAAACAGGGAATAGAATAGAAAAACAACAGAACCAGTGACACCAAAAAGTGGTTCTTTGAAAAAAAATTAACAAACCTTTAACTTGACTAAGAAAAAGAGATGACTACCATAATTGGAAATGACTGTAGAGAAACTGAGACCCTCAGAAATTGCTGGTGGGCATACAAAATGGTGTGGGAAATAGTTTGGCAGTTCCTCAAGAAGTTAATATATAGAATTACCATATGACCCAGCAATTCCATTTCTATGCATATAGCCTCAAAGAATTGAAAATAAGTTCTCAAACATTTGCACACAAATATTCACAGCAGCACTATCCACAACAGTCCAAAGGTGGAAACAACCTGTCCATCAGTGAACAGATAAACAGATTTTGATCCATCCATACAGTGGAATATGACTCAGTCATAGAAGGTATGAAGTGCTGATTTATGCTATATAGATGAACCCTGGAAAACATTAGGCAAGGGAAAGAAGTCAGACACAAAAGGTCACATGTTATATGATTTTACTTGTATGAAACATTCAGACAGATCCATACAAACAGAAAGCAGACTCCTGGTTGCCAGAGGATGGAAGGAGTGAGGAATGGGGAAATAACTGTTTAATGGGTGTGGGGTTTTCTTCTGGGGTGATGAAAATGTTTTGGAACTAGATAGAGGTAGTGGTTGTACAATATTGTGAATATTCTAAACGCCACTGAATTACGGGTTTCCCTGGTAGCTCAGCTGATAAAGAATCCGCCTGCAATGCGGGAGACCTGGATTTGATCCCTGGGTTGGGAAGATCCCCTGGAGAAGGGAACGGCTACTCACTCCAGTATTCTGGCCTGGAGAATTCCCTGGACTGTACAGTCCGTGGGGTGGCAAAAAGTTGGACACGACTAAGCGACTTTGACTTTCATTTCTCAATGTTTATACCTTTTAATTCTTTTAGATGGGCTATAAGGGTGATGGGCAGTAAGTCCAGGCGTGAAGACAGCTCTTTGAAGTGAAGTGAAAGTTGCTCAGTTGTGACCTAAATTTGAAATTCCCCCAGATATTTTTGTATTTTCTTTATATACTTTCCAAAAAATAGGCTTTACCTTTTCACCCTGTGCCTCTTGTTGTTTTTTCCTCACAAGTTTTTGCCTTTTCTCATTCTTCTCTTCTTCTTCTAAGATAGCAAAACACAGAAGTGCTTTTTAATTCCCATGTATCAGTAAGTTGAATGTTATTTTTCTCTGAAAATCATCTGTAGATCTTCACATTTGGGAAGAGAAAAGTCTTCAAAAAAAACAGACTTATTTTTCAAATAATAAAGATAAGATAGACACAGACAGTTGAAACACAGAAGTCTGCAAGAAATTTCTTTCTGTAAGAAATGTCAATCTGTAGGAAAAGGTCTGTTCTGAAACAAAAACTTTCTGACAGGTATTAATATTGTGTGTTACAGTTTTGGTAGGGAGACTTCAAGAATAATGATGGTGGGGTTTTTTTCTGCAGGTGCCGGATAGGGTTTAGCAGCTCTACAGAAGCCCATTCCCACACATGAGGTGTAGAATACTTTGCTGCAGCATTTGGTCACCCTTGGACATGATGGTAAAAGCAATATACCTAGATTCTCAACGTGGGGTGTGAATGGCAACCCTTGCAGTGACTTAACCAATATTAGATTATAAGCCACTGAACATCAAGAGAAGGGATCTCTGCTGTTGTATAGACCTTTTAAAGTTTGGGTTAGAAATTATATAGTTTCAGATGTATATACAAGAAAAAAGAACAATTTCTCATAAAAATTTTGGGATATAGCCCATTCAAAATTGTTAACTAAAGTTGTAAGTATTACTCTACCATAAAATTACGCAGCACAAATTAATGGTACAATGATGCTTATTGTGCAAAAGTTCTCGAATAAAGGAAAGAAATTTCAGTAGAAAAGTATAAAAGGGTAGCATAAACAATAAACTTACCTTTCAGATAAACTTGGGAAGGTTTAAACGAGTTAACCCATGAGGTAGTCACAGAAATAATTAATGTAAGAAGAGCAAGCAGTAGGAAAATCCGGCCACACAGCAAAATTAGATCTTTGATTCCTTATAAAGGTTAAAAAAATTATAATTACAATTCAAAACATTTTTCTTGACACTAATAATGAGTACTAATACATTAGAAGATTATCTGTACTAGAAAAGTACAGTTAAAGTTAAGGTATGTAACTGTCTTAAGATTTTTCATATAGCCTCCTTTGGTCAACAGAATTCATCATGACTGTCATTACCAAAACAGGTTTTCAGAAAACGATTCTAGAACATCTTCTCTCTCAGGAATATAAGTATAATCTGAGTAACTGGCTACATTATAAATATATGACTAACAATAATGCATAAATTCTGGTTTCCTTTCTGCCCAAAGAAGGAAAGAAAATAATCCACATAATTGGGAATTAAACTGTGATAATATCATCCTATCAGATTCTAGTTCTATTTAAAAAAATCCACTTCCACTGAAACACCAAATTCTTCTCACAGGTAAATTATGCAACTCTGTACTTCTCTATTGCTCAATATTTACTTCATCATTTGTAAATAAATTTACTAGACACACATTTGCCTAGAAAAAATTAAAATTTTAGTACTTGATTTTTACTATTTTAAGAACCAAATGAAAATTAATCAGCAAAAACATAACAAGTACCTTCTTTGTGTAATACATTTTGCCAAATGATAGGGAGTATATGTATAAAGTTGGATTAAAAATGGTTTCCACCCTCCACGAATTTCTAGTTTTGTTGTGTAATTCTCAAAAGTTACCAGGCAAAAGTACAGAGGAACCATCTTACCAGTGTGATGGGGACTAGCAGTTAGTCAAATAACTAAGAATTAATGAAGGAATCGTATATACAGACTTAAATATTTTATTTTTAACTGAAAACATATACACGCACACAAACATATATATATATACACACACACATACATATTATATATCGTCCTTAAAAAAATAAGCAATTTAAATTTGTTTAAAGTTTTTTTGTTTTCTTTTGCATTACAGCCCCTCCAGCCTTTGCCAGCATTAACTACTGATTCAGGTATTGTTCAATATGACATGTAATTAACTCTAAGAGTAACTATGATCATTTCAAAAGTAATTTGATAACTAGAGTATTCCTATTTAGAGAAACAAATGCGTTATGGAATTTATGTTCTATAACACTGCTTTTTGTTCTAACAAGCAAGCAATTTCAAATGGGAATACAAAAGAACTAGATTTATGTGTATACCTCTCAAGTAAGAAATTTTTAAATTAAGTTGAGGTGTTTTGTTTATACTATGCTCAAGAGCCCATGTGCAGGACACTTCAAAGGATAACAAATGTGATGAACCAGTATTAAAACACTTAGCTTAAGTATAAGTAAAAATATATCAGCAATGAATGCTTTTACAGAGTAGGAAAAAAACAGATTATTTCTCAGTATATGTCCAAAAATATAGCAAAGGTGAATGAACATGTCTGAATTCTCTGGTAATTCAATTAGCAGCTCCAGCTAAAAGTAGCAGTATCTCTAAGTCCTGGTCCAAACCTAACTAGCCCTGCAGCTGTTGAACTGAGATGTATGACTTTTAAAATAGACTAAAATACTGTTGCTGCGTATTTGCAGAACCAGTAACAAGAAACCAAAGTAGACAACCCTCAGTTCACAATTGTGAGAGGATTCTAGAAGAAAGGAGTTAAGTGAAAATGTATAAGTGGAAAGGCTACCAGGAGCCCAGTTGCATTTTCTAGAATTTTTTACTTTTATTAAATTAGATATTGTGATAAGTGATGGGAATACAAAAAAAGAAGGGTGGGGGGGGGGCCTCTGTCCTCAAGAAGTATATTATCCTGTGGTCAGAGCTTATCGTGTGAACATCTTCTGCAACTCTTGAGTAACCACCTTCTCATTGACTAGTGACTCAAATGATAGTGCAAAGTAGATTATAGATGAGCAGAGTAACGGTGAATTCTGTAAGGTAAGGAAGCAGGTAGATTCTGGAATAAGTGTGAATTTAACATCTATCATTTAGATAAAGATCTTATTAGATTCCAATGTGGCTGGAAACTTCTAGAGAATGTAGATTTTTTAAAAGTCATTTTATTTTAATTTCTTATTTCATGCAACGTTCTGGGTACCTGACTTCCTGGGGGTAGGGGTGAAGAGAGGAAATATAAGAAGTTAAATTGCATCACGGTCTCTTAATTCCCTTCTTCCCTCTCTCTTTCCTTCTCATCCATTCATTGATTTATGCATGCATGCAGCGACTAGAGGTTGAACACCTGCCTTTTGCAGCGAGAGTGCAAGTCCCAACCAATTCCAGGGAATTCTCATAGTGGCCAATTTTAGAAGTGAGTTTAATAAGGGAGACAGACATTTAAACAGATCATTAATATGTCCAAAAATGAATGAATTCTCCACCAGTCCACGTTTCCTTTCATTTTTCCCTTTATTACTGGTACCACCAACTGCTTGAAGTTGTTCTCTGCCACATGTAGGAGTTATCCTTGAATCTCTCCTTTCCCTCACCCAAATCATTAACCCATCAACAACCCTGCTGATTCTACTTGGCTAAAATCCCAAATCCGTGCACATTTCACCTCCTCTGTTATCCTAGTCCAGGCCAACTGTCATCATGACCTCCCTACTTCAGAAGCCTAACATGCCTCACTGCTTCTGCTGTAGCATCCCCACAAAACATTCTCCACACAGAACCCAGTGACCTCTGAAAAGCCTTAAGTAAGTCCCTTAACCTCACTATATCTCAGTTTGTGCCACTTAATGACAGAAAGCAAAGAGGAACTAAAGAGCTTCTTGATGACTGTGAAAGAAGAGAGTGAAAAAGCTGGCTTAAAATTCAACATTCAAACAACTAAGATCATGGCATCCAGTCCCATCACTTCATGGCAAATACATGGGGGGAAAGTGGAAACAGTGACAAATTTTATTTTCTTGGGCTCCAAAATCACTGCAGATGGTGACTGCAGCCATGAAATTAAGACACCTGCTCCTTGGAAGAAAAGCTATGACAAACCTAGACAGGGTATTAAAAAGCAAAGACACCACTTAGCTGACAAAAGTCTGTATGGTCAAAGCTATGGTTTTTCCAGTAGTTATGTACAGATGTGAGAGATGGACCATAAAGAAGCCTGAGGACAAGAAGACTTGATGCTTTCCAACTGTGGTGCTGAAAAACTGTGGAGAGTCCCCTGGAATGCAGGGGAAGCAAACCAGTCAATCCTAAAGGAAATCAACCCTGAATGTTCATTGGAAGGACTGATGCTGAAGCTGAAGCTCCAATACTTTGGCCACCTGATGCGAAGAAATGACTCACTGGAAGAGACCCTGATGCTGGGAAAGACTGAAGGCAGGAGGAGACGGGGGTAAGAGAGGATGAGATAGTTGGATGGCATCACTGATTCAATGGACATGAATTTGAGCAAACTCCAGGAGATAGTGAAGAACAAAGAAGCCTAGTGTGCTGAAGTCCATGGGGTTGCTGTCAAAGAGTCGGACACCACTTGGCGACTGAACAACAAAAATAGGGATTATAATAGTACCCATCTTTTTGCCTTTCATGCTGATTGTAAAGAGGATTAGATGAGATAATAAATGAACAGCATTTAGAATTTGGTGCTAAATGAATGTTACTGATACTATCTTGAGCCAATCTCCCTCTGTGTCTCCTTGATCCAGCCTCAATGGTCTTCATCCTTTTCCTCCAACGAGTCACAATTCCTTTGTCTGGAATGTTTTCCGGCTTTTCAGAGTTGATTCTTTATCCTTTAAAGCTCGGCTTAAATTCCTCAGCAGGTTTTTTCTTTCTTTTTGAGCATTCAACACAATTTGAAAGTCGTGTATATGTTTGTTCCTGTGCTTTCTGGCTCTGTTCCCTTACACGCAACACCTCACCAGATCTAGGCGACTTTTTCAGTCACCGGGAGTCAACTTCCTTAATGCAGCATTGCTTTCCCCCTACCAGACCCCGACCCAGAACTGAATCCGGAAGAGGGAGGCCGGCGCGGTGCAACCTGGGAGTCGTAGTCAAAGCCACCCAGAGGCATCGCGGCTGGAAAACGGAAATTCAACGCAGTGTTCATGGGGCCGTTACCCGAGTTTGAGGGTCAAAAGGGAAAAGCCAACACTTACCCAGATCTGGTATCCCACGCCGGAGCTCCAGACACAAGAGGGGGAGAGCAGAGAGTAGAAAAATACCAACTACCCCACGAGAAGCCATAGTGATGGGAACCCCGCTTCCGGGCGGAAGGCCCGCCCCTTCCGGCTGCACCTCACTGGGAAAGTGGAGTGGAGACCTTGTTAAGGGAGGAATTTGGGGAGACAGCTAGACCCTGAAGCAGGGTCTTTGGTCAGATTGAGGTGAGCCCAGGTATTTGAACTCATAATCTGTAGCGTTAGAACAAATGCAGGACACCTCACGTCACGTGGGCGGTGAGACGGCCTCCGTGGCACCTGCCCAGCCAAGTCCTGTCAAACGTGCGCTATGTCAAGTCAAACGTGGGCTGTGGCGAGGCTGGCCGCACCTGGATTCCGGAGGCTGTGAGAAAGAGTTGTCAAGAGTAAAATGAGGCGTAATAGAAAGGGTACGGGCAGTTGACGCTGTGAGGAGGCAGCCTGGCCCTTTGGCGTTGTGTCCGTAGAGGGTGCTGGTGGACTTTTGGGTCGGAGCAACTGAGCGCCACTCTGCTGAAGCACCTTCTTCATTGCCTCAACGGTCTCCGGCTCATTTCGTAGTTTCTGGTTCCTGTGGAAAGATGATTCAAAAGTGGGACCTGGCACCTAATCCTGGAGACCCGCCACCCTTTCTCCGCTCCTGGTTAGTTTTGCCAGCAGGGTTATTGTTAAAGACTTAACTCGGCCTCACAGTTCTGTGACCTCATTGCCATCCCATGACTCACCTCCGTGGCGCTACTGCCAACCTACAGCGCAATTAAGCTAGGGAGATCCTTGTAGTTTACAAGCTTTCATGCTTTGAAAGTTCATTTTCTGACCTAGCCATCAATTTTCCCACCCTGGCATTTAGTTCAGCTAACATTTATTGAGCCTCACAGTCTGGTGCCCGGAGGATTTATGAGAAATACGAGAAGTTAGTGAATTTGCCCTCAGGAAGCTCAGAAATTCAGTTTAGTAGCTCTGTAAAAAGATAAGTGGAGTCAGTGCTTGAGTGTTGTGATAAGGATGGGCACGGGGCTGTAGAACCCCATCCCCAGCGAGGGCTTGAAGGCTTTCCTGAAGGAAATCATGCCTAAATTGTGTCCTAAAGGTTAGGAATTGGGAAAGGTGGCAAGAGGAAGAGTGGGATTTCAAGTTCAGGAAATTGAATGCAGAAAATTCAGGAATTAAAATACTGCAGTTTCAAGTTTGAGTGGACGTGCCTAGAGGTAGGTTGCAGTTAGGAGCACACTTCCTGGAAGTGAAGGTGCAAAGTAGGAGGGCACAATCTCAAAATCAGTCTAGACGAAGTATTATAAATTTTTATATGGCATACTAATGAAGTAATTAACTATATTGACTCAGAGCTTCTCATTTTTTGTCTACATGAAGAAAGGAAAGAAAGGAAGTTCCACACTGCTTAACTGTCTTCATTTTGGTGTGATTTCCTTGTTTAGGCATTTTGCTTCCTCTCCCTCTGCATTCCTGGTATAATCTATTGATGACAGCAGTGAGTCTCTGTCAGAACAGTAAAATGAAGCTTCCCACATACTCTAAAATTTGCATGAGGTTGTAATACATTTCCCAAACTTTGTTGATTGTGAAGTCTCTTCACCGCAGTTATCTACTTCCATCCACCCCTTCCTCCCACCAGACCACCAAACTAACCTATTCAGCTAAAACCAAGTTTCTCACTTACTGCATTAAGGTAGAACACTGATGTATCATAATTTTTGTAGTGTCTTAGAGGGGAATTCAAGGATGATTTTTATAAGGCTTTTCAAATCTAGTTTGGAATGGTTTAAGGTAGTCTTTTTGATATGGAGATCTAACTGGGATTAGACATAGTACATGGTATAAGTTTAGTTCTTGTGGACATAGCAAGATGCAGGACTTGAAGGCAGATGTGGCCTTTTTGATAAGAACATGAATTTGCCCAGTTGAGTGACCAGTTCAGCTTCTTAGTGCATGAGAGGGAAGCTTTTTACCCTGATGAGTAACCTGTTGTTCACATAACTAGATTTTCAGGAAGCTTATAAAGCTAACAATGAAAACAATTAAGTTATGTGCTGATTTACAGCTATCTTTGTTGGCAAGAATTTCCTGGAACAAATAGGAAAGTCATGTTGATTGATGTAAGGTCACAGTTCTCAGTGATCATAATTAAGCTATTATTTATAGGTCTTTCAGTTCTTGCAATAAAATCTCATATGAACACTTTGAGTATTGTATAAGAGGAAGAAATGATGTGTTAGTTGCTTAGTCATGTCCAACTCTTTGTGACTCCATGGACTGTAGCCCACCAGGCTCCTCTGTCTGTGGGATGTTCCAGGCATGGATACTGGAGTGGGTTGCCATTCCCTTCTCTGGGGGAACCTTCCTGACCCAGGATTGAATCAGGGTTTCCTGCATTGCAGTCTGATTCTTTACCATCTGAGCTACCTGGCATAAGAGGAAAGGACTTTTAAATCTTGATAGTTTATATTAAGTCATTCTCTATTAGCATTCTTAAAATACAAATTTCACATTTTTTTATATTTAAGAAGTGATGCTACCAGTTTTCTTTATGTGTAGAAAAGTAGGATTGTCGAAACTTCTATGGTGGTCTGTACTCCCAATGCAGGGGGCCTGGGTTTGTTCCTGGTTGGGGAACTAAATCCCACATACCACAGCTAGGAGTTTACATCCTGCAACTAAGGGTCTTGTGTGCTATAGCTGGGACCTGGTGCAGCCAAATAAATTAAAAAAAATTTTTTTAAGTAGGATTGCCATCACATTTTAAAATCTAATCTTATTTTATTGGGGGGATAATGTTTATTAACATGTACCCTGAATTGTATGTATTAAGAGTATCCACACTCCGGAAGATGGTGAAGGACAGGGAAGCCTGGCATGCTACAGTCTGTGGGGTCGCAAAGAGTCAGACATGACTGAGTGACTGAATAACAACAAAACTGCTTATGTTACCTAATATTTGGAATTTTTGTATTTAAAAAAAACTAGTTCAGTTTTTCAACAGCTTATGAAACTTTTCAGACAAAAAAGTTGAATAAATTTACAATGACTATCCATATACCCACATTTTATTATGTTGTTTGTTGTTTAACTGCTAAGTCATGTATGACTCTATGACCCCATGGACTGTAGCCTGCCGTGGGGTTTTCCAGGCCAGAATACTGGAGTGGGTTGCCATTTCCTTCTTCAGGGGATCTTCCCAATCCAGGGATCAAACCTGTGTCCTTGCGTCTCCTGGTTTGGCAGGTGGGTTCTTTACCTCTGAGCCACCCGGGAAGTCCACATTTTATTATACATATTATCATATATCTGTCAATCTATCCATTCATCAGTAGGTCTTATTTGATGCATTTCATAGTTGGAGACTTTAGAATATTTTCCCCAAGATACTTCAGTGTGTGTATCATTAACTATATCATATGTGTCTGCATACTTCATATAATATATATACTTCAGCATGCATTTCGTTAGCTACATTGAAAAGCTAACATCTTAACACTACCTTTCCTTGGGTTCCAGCATAATCATTGTTAAAAGAAACTGAAACATGTTAAAAATCTTGAGCAAAAGTTAATTCAAACCTTCTATCCTGATAGGAGCTCTGGGGAGCTGAGAAAATGAAGGACTTTACTAGCCAAAAGGGAACAGGAACACGGAAGTTATTTTAGGCAAAACAGCAGGTTGGCTAATGCAAGGCTATTTTAGAGGATGGCACGGGTCCAAGAAGTACATTCCCTAACTAGTGCTGATCAGGTGATTCCATTTCTGGGAGAGCTGAAGCTGTAAGTAAATTCTGCACTTGGTGGTGTGGGGATTCGCATAATTAATCCATTTTAGGCCTCTTGTCTTGTTTCTTAACCTCATATACTAGTGCAAGATTCAAGATTTTTCCCAGAAAGTAACCATTGTTTTGATTTTTTTTTCTACTATAGATTAGCTCTGTCTCTTTTAAAACATCTAAAATCCCATGGACAGAGATGCCTGGCAGGCATGGGATCACAAAGACTTGGACACAACTGAGCAACTGAGCACACACACAGGACTTCTATAAATGGAATGATACAGAATGTGCTGTTTGGATTAGGCTTTGTACACACATCACAATTTTTTAAACTTTTTATTTTGAGATAATTATAGGTGCACATAGAGTTATAAGAAATAATACAGGGACTTCCCTGGCAGTCTGGTGGTTAAAACTCTGCTTCCAATGCAAGGGGTGCAGGTTCAATCCCTGGTCAGGAAACTAAGATCCCACATACCATGTAGCCAATAAATAAATACTTTAAAAAAAAAGAAAGAAAAGATATAATACAGAGGGAGCACATGCATTCTTACTCAGTTTCCCCCATTGGCAAATTCATTCAAAATTATAGTACAGGATTTTGGGGGGGGGGGGGGGACCGGGATGGGGAATACATGTAAATCCATGGCTAATTCATTTCAATGTGTGACAAAAACCACTGCAATGTTGTAAAGTAATTAGCCTCCAACTAATAAAAATAAATGGAAAAAAACAACAAAATTATAGTACAGGATTTATATAAACAGGAAATTTATATTGACACAATCTATCAAGCTTATTCAGATCTTGCCAGTTTTACGTACACTCATTTGTGGGTGGGTATCTTGCTGTATACAGTGTTATTACCTGTGTTGTTTCCTGTGACCGACCGCCACTAGTCGAGATACATAACACATAATAGCTCCATCACTATCTCTTGCCCTACCATTTTATACCCACAGGCACTTCATTTTCTATCCTTCATCACCACCATACTCCAGGCAACCAGTAATCTGTTCTCCATCTTTTTAAGTTTGGCACTTCAAGAATATTATGTAAAGTGAAATTGTGCAGCATTCATTGAAGTGAAGTGAAAGTTGCTTAGTTGTGTCTGACTCTTTGTGACCCCATGGACTATATAGTCCATGGGATTCTCCAGGCCAGAATACTGGAGTTCATTAACTACAATGAAATGCACATCTTTTTTTTTTTTAATTCACTTATCTTAGTTGTACCATTCCTTGAGTACCCATATAAGCATGTTTAAAAAC